CAAAGGTTTTTTTGTTGCTGTAACGTCATGCTGTGTGTTTGCCAGTGTGCCTTACTAATGTGGGAAGTGACTGCTGAAGTGTCTGCAATGTATGTAGAAAGCATACCAGCACTGAATTTACACTCAGGTTCTTCAGTCCCAGTCTAGCAATGTAAAACTTTTTAAGTATCTGTAAATATCATCTGTGTCTACTTCATGCTAATAAGACTAAAGAAACCGTTAGTCTAATTGAGAATCAGGGTCAGAATTTGTCAGTTGACTATGGCATGGATTTTTCATTTCAAATAATCTGGGCCAAAAAGTGTGTCTCTCTTGCTCCTGAAGCAATTACTTGTAATTAAGTTGTTCCTGGGTGGGCCTCACTATTACTAAGTTTTCATGGTTATTAGATTCTGTTTTGTAATATGGATCTGCTTTTGGAAATAATATTTCTCATTTTTTATTTACTTATTCTGAATAGGAAGTAAAGTGATTCTCTTTTCATAATAAGCAGCAGTGGAAGTGTGTCTGTATTGATAAATGTATTCTACAGACTTTTTTGTAAATATATTCTTGTTTAAAACATGTAGTATATGAGAAAATTGGATTCTTAGCTTTTTATTGCACAAGATTAGCTTAAATGACTTCAGTGACTCAAAAGAATAGAGTTTTGATAGTCAGTGACCAGATTCAAATTAGTACCCAATAAAAAAGTACGTGTATTCATTTATAGTCGAACTAAGGAAAGCTTAGTCTTACAGTAGCAGAAGATGAAAATGCATTGTGGAGATAAGCAGTCGACTTCCTTAGGCTAGATAAAATGTACTGAAAGGAAAGACAGAGAAGAATCTGTGTATGTCAAAGACATTGTCTGACTCTGTACTCTTGTAGAGTGCAAGTGCTTAGCACTGATTAGAAGTAGTGTCAATGAAATATGAATGCATTGTAGCATTTCTGACCATATTCTACTGTATCTACATGGTGTTTCAAGTAACCTCTTGTTATCTGAACAAGAAGCCTGAAAGAAATTAATAAAATATATGAGGAGAAGGAAAGAGCTTGTACTGTGCCCTCTATATAATAGTAATATCCCTGGTACAGCTCGTACAGTAAGGTGACATTGTCATTAGGCTCTTTCGCTGTAAGTCATTTGCACTTCACAAACTAAATGTTGTATCAAAGCTCAATGTAGTTCTTACCTGGCATACACGTACTTTGGGAGGAGTGATCTGTTACAGACATAACCAAAATGAGGTTATAAATACAGTGCTAATATTACTGATATTTGCTTGATACTACTTAGAGAACCCATCACCTAAGAGTAATGAAGCACTGACAAACCGTGAGTAACATCAGAACGTCGAGCCAGAGAGTGTACTTTTCATAATTAGTTTGGAAAGTCAACGGCTGGACAAATCATTAATTTGGCCGGATCACACAGTGAGTAAGTGCCAGAGATGCAAGAGAGAAGCCAGGAATGCTGACTAGTCCTTTCTGAGAGAGCGCTTCCAAAGTCTAACCTGAAAAAAGAAAACACTTTTCTTCTTTCTGTGGTGTGTAAATACTTGAAATACTTTCAAAACTTCTCCTGCTTGGCTTTGCATAATGGAAGAGATATGGTACTTTGACAGTGTGGTCTTTCTCACCTAGCTGAAATGAGGCATCAGTGAAGAATATGTTTGCAGAGATGTGAGATCTATACAGCTTCAGGACAAAAGGAGTTTTGCTGAGCTTTGGCACAGTGAGCTTAGCCAGTGAGTGCATGTATTTTTGCGTTGCTACTTCTCTTTCTGTTGGAAGCTGTCAGAGCATTTCACAAACTTTAATGACTGAAACTTGTGAAAGCATTAATGACATTCCTAACTTTATTGAACAGAGAGGAAAAAGAGAAACATTGGCGCTGACTGACTCCCCCACTGACACAAATGAATCCCACAGACCTTGGTCTACACATAGGTAGGAGCCTTAATTTTTCAGATGAGCAGTCCCGTTGAACTGAAAAGGAAATGCGTGTGAATAAAATTAAACATGTACATGTTTAAAAGATTAGTCCTAATTTTAAACATTAACATGTCTCCCCTCCCTCATGAATGCCTTTGCTAAAAAAAAAACCCTAAGAAAGTCTTGACAGGGTTTTAAATTGCTTAATTGGTCCATTTTGTGGAGTTGGATTTAATATAGGTAGTATTTTTATATAAGTCTATGTGGGTGTCACTTGTATTTTCTCTAAAGTGTTGTCCATGTAATGGGTGTGAAGCTAAATTTCTGAAAGGCACAGTGCAGTCTTTTAACCTTTAACCGGTTTAACCTTTCAAGGAACCTATGGCAGTTTTAACTGGCTGTGTTATTATCTGAAAACGTTTGTTCTTCAAATATTGATGTTCTCCACAAAGTGGAAGAACATTTCATTATTTTTGGTATGTAAAGTAATAAATGACCTTGTAAATGAAAATCAAATGCAGGGACAGGTACCAAATGTTTACTGACTATAAACACCATGCTAACTCTGGGTGAAACATTTCTTACTATGTAGGCTAACTTTCAGACCACATTTGTTCTGATTATTAGTTTTAATGGCTTAGACATGTTAAAGATAGGTAGTTATTTTTCTGACCATGAACTACTTGAGATGACTAATTCACAAACTTTTATTGAAGCATCATTTTGTGTCTGATTTGGGAAAGAAAAGAGCATTTTTTCTGTGGATTTCATCTGATGCTACAATTCAGTAGTTAGTAATTACATAAGAATTCACTTGACATATTAAATAAGCACTGACAAGAATCCGTTCCTAGAAGGAAGTAACTGATGAACAAAATCATGATATGTAAAGATTTTCTTTTTTTAAGCAGGAACTGACCACTTTTGAGGGTTTTTTGGTTTGTGAAGTCATTAAAGATTTATGATTAATAAAAAGGTTTATTTGCTTGGTTTGCCAGATCAGAAATATTTAGTTCTAGTTTTGCATGAGTTACTAAGAGAGAGCTTGGGGTTATTAATTATGAACCCTAGAAACCTAATGCCAGCAGTGAGTGTGGTGAACCTTGAGCAACTATCTTATCATTCTACGTTTTTATTTGATTATTAGAGTTTTGTAACTTGTTGTGAAATGCAACAAAATTTTAGTCATTTTAAACAATCTGATTCAAATTTCTTTCCTCTCCCAACTCCTTTCTTTTATCCTGTTTTGTCTCAATTCTCCAGAGCAAGGCTTTCAAGCTTTAGACTTGCTAATCTGAAGCCTAGCCAAAACCAACCTTTCCAGGTTGTCTACTTTAGCCAAAAAAAGGCACAAAAGAGTAATTTCTAACATGCAAAAATATCACAGTTACAGCTAAGAGAAAAAGAAATTCACCAACTTCTTGCTCATAGAAGTCCTCTTTTTAACCTTAGAGAGACACATGTATATACCATATGTATCATGTGTGTATATAGAAATAAAAGATTTTCAAAACATGAATTGCAGTTCTCATGAGTCTACACAGTATAGCGTGAAGCAGTTTCCAAAAAAGTGGACATACCTCGTGTTCTGCACTGTGATTTAGACTGTCAGGTAATATACATTGTTAGATCTGGAAATGACATGCCAGTTTTACAGCGTTGTGTCAATCCCAATGCCAGCAGCTTAAAAGAGAAATGCTTTTTGAAATTAATACAGAATGTTTGACTCACTCCAAAGAATGTCATTGCTGTGTTTGAGTGCTGGCCTCCAGATTGCTTTCAGGGGATTGGTATTTTTCTTGTTCAGAGGAAAGTAAGAGCAAAAGTTGCTTTCGGTGTTATGTGAACACTGGGTTTGCTCTGCTCCCTTATGGAATAATTACCAGCGATTAAGTGTTCTTGGTTTTTGTTTTTCCCATCCTGCCTCCTTACCGGTTATGTAATATATAGTTTAGCAAAACTCTGAAGACTGTTTAGAGTTACTGGCTTTCTGTAAAGCAAACAGCTAAACACTGGAGTTGATGCAAACAAGGCACTTAGCATCTGAAAGAAGTGTTAACACTTTATTTACATTTAAATTAAAATGGACACTTATTTATGTCTTCTGGTTCTGAAAGGTGTGTGGTACATCTGCAGAGGCCTATTGTTTATTCATGCTGTAAATCCTTTGAAATGTGTTAAAATGCTTCCCACTCATTATAAAAATCCTGCCACCCATGGATTAGGGCTTTGATGTCACCAATCCTGCTTCAAAGGGTTCTTTCAATGCTATTAATCACAGTTTAGCCTCTGAAGATATAGCCAGAGAAAACATTTGGACATCTTGTGCTAGACTTGCTAAAACTTTGAAATATACAGAGTGTCTTGCATATGCACAGTCCTGTATCACTTCCTCTCTTCTCTGAGCCTTTATTTTGAAAAGCTATTTTGTGATGACTTTGGCTTTCTTCAAGTACAGAGGAAAAAGTTTAGGACATGTCATACTGTACATTTAAAAAAAGGCACTTGTCTTTCAGTTGACACCACAAGATGTTTTGGCCTGAGGAATTGAATCAGTCTTTAAAAACCCCCAGGGACAATAAGATAGGAGATTAAGCAGGCCTATAAGTCAAAAGGTCAAAAAAAGATACCGTCTTATCATTTTCTCATCTCTTTCATTAGTTTGTAAGCTTAAGATGCTGTCTAAACACTTCAGAATCCACATGATTTCATAGAAACAAGATTGTTTCTGCTGTCTTTTTCTCTTTTAAATCTCTCAATGAGTCACAGAGAAATTGATTACTAGTGATTGAGCTGTATGCCTTTGTGCTGTCATTGTTTTCATCAGCTCAGTAGCTAAGGTCAGTGACATACCGCCTTATCACTGACTTTTTCCTCCCTTTTAAATCAACACTGCACTCTGTCATGCCCGTGCTGAATGCTCTGCAGACACAATTGGTAATGAGCGGGGTGTGGAAGAAGTGTGGTGGTGTCTGCTGGTTTTAGTACTATTGTACAAACTGATTTTCCACCATACAGGTTTTTCCATGCTAAGCTTCTTGAACAGTTTTTGCAGTATGTATGTCTTTCTTTTTGAACAGGTAACTTGGCACAAGCGAGAGCCAGAGTGACAGCAGCATCTAGGTCTTTGCCTCCACAGCTTAGTTCTGGACGTATCAAGGTTAGTAGTGTTCCCTTTGGAGACAGGCAATTGTTTGTAAAATATTACAGCAAGACTATGGACATGATGCTTAGCTGATGTAGGTATACAGTGAGGTTCTTACCAAGTGAGAGTCTGCCTTAATATCAGAAGACATGCACCTCAGCTGGGAGCAGTGTTTCCTGTTTTAGTGAGAACCCTATTTTAGAATGCAGTGAAGAATCAATTTACTGATGATTAATCTTTAAACTTTTGGAGTGAAATCTCAGTTACATTTATATTGGTAGCAATATTCCTCTTTATTTCAGTGGGGCCAAGTTTTTCCTCTGGCAATTTTGGCCTAGAAAGATTTAAGAATTTGAATAGTGTATTTGACAGTATCAAAGGCAAAATTTTAAAAAAAATTATCTGTTCCTTTTTTTACTCAACTTGCAAGTGAAAAACCAGGGGACATTTGTAACTGATAGACGACCAGAAAAGAACAACTTGACAAAACTACTACTCTTTAAAAAGAAGAACTGTAGAATTTAAACACTGCTGAATTTTGCCATAAAAATATGTGGCATAATTGCAGAAGGATGGGATAATTTTATGGCAGTTAATAGGCTGTGTTGCCCTCTGACCACTTGATTTGTGAGGAAAACTCTTGTGCCTCAAGCTGATAGCGTGTACACCCCCTCCCTGCTTCCTAAGTAGTACTGTTAGAGTTAGCTTAGTTAAGGGTTTTGGGTTTTTTTGTCTCCAAAGCAAACAATAATAATTTTTAAAAATAAATGTGGTAACAGCAATTGTCAAAAACAGAATTTTATGTTCTGGATTTTCTATTTCTTTTCATTCTCTCTTGTTATTAGGAGCTCATGCTCAAATGTTGATACCATAATTCATGTCACACAGACATCTATATCCTTCACTGTACCTGCAAATACAGATGTAGATTTCAGAGATTTATTTCCTCTCTGGTATAAACACTTTCAGTACTGAAGGAGAATGTCCTTTCTGTTTTTTTGTATTATACACACATTGTCTTCCACATCCAGCTATATTCAGCATAAGCTTTCTAAGCATGCATGTTATTGATAAAGCTGGAATGGAATAGAGCAGTTCTCTTTTAGAAAGAACTTTAATAAACACAATCAGTTATGAAGTAGTGTTTCAGTGGTTTTTACTCACCCTTCAAATTTTTAAAGAAGGATCTAAAAGCCATGCGTAAGTGCAACACTATTCGGAAAATGTTAATTGAAATATTTTTTAGCTGAAAAAATTATTTCTTATAATTTCATAAAACTTCTAATTAAAACAACTTCAGGAAAAAGATTTTAAATTATTATTTTACAATTTGTTAAAAAAATCCAAACGTAATGATTTTGTTTGGAAGTTTGGACATTTTCATTTATCATTTAATTTTATGAGCTTTTTTGCTTAACGTATTTTTTTGTTTTTACAGTATTTCATACCATGCCAGCAGCAGGTGTGGTCATTATGTGAAAGTAATAATTTCCGGTGACTTCGTAAGGTGACATGATGTCATAAATCATTCTTTTAGTATTGTTTCAAAATTATTATAAGCAATTTTTTTTAGTGATGGAACAGTTTATCTTTGTAGGTCAAGCTTTTTTCCATTTCAGTTGTAATCATCTAAATGTATATTTTATGTCACTGCTACTGTCATGTAAAAATGTGACTTAACAGTTGAAATATTCTTCATTTTAGTTTAAAAAGAGTAGCTAGTGATTTAAAACACAAGATTATATCCTGACATTCTTATTATGTTCTATCATTTTCTACCAAGCCAGTTGTGATAAAGACTATTGCCTGTTGTACATGTGATTATTGCCCTACCATAAAACTGCATGGCTTCGTAGACACACAGTGTTATAAATTAACAAGAGATAAAACTTCTAAAAATTCTTACAGGAAAATCTCTCTAGTTTCAGGGTCTATCAGAATTTTTCTAATAGAAACTTCAAATGTTTCTTGACAAAAAGATTTGAAAATTGATCCTAGTCCTTACAGACTGCACAGATCCAAATTTACAACTACATCCGTAGATAAAGGAACCTCATGATACTAGTTGTACTCTGATTTTCTGAGAAAAACTGTATTGCATCTCCTCTGTGAGTGTTTCTGACCATCTGTCTTTTTGTGTGTTCACTCCCTTCCCCCCCCTCCCCCCCCCAAAAAAAAAACCAACCAAACAAAACAACCCCCTTTTGAACCCAGCAGGCTGTAGTAAACCATATTTGACAGAGTGGCAGTCTCAAAGATCGTAAGATTCTACAGGTGAAAATAAGCAGCTGTGAAAAGGATGTCCTTATGGTATCCTACTGCCCAAAATGTAGAGCATAAGCTCACCCTTTACTGGCCAGCAGATATTCCAGATGTGAATGAGAGATCATGAGTGCTGAACCTCCAACAACATCACTGAGAGTCTCTGCTTTTCTAGACAGAGAAGAATCCAGTTTAGAAGCTCAAATTCATGGACATTTGGGCTTCAGTGCACTCCTCAAATTATTTGCTTTTGCTCTTGATTTGGTGGTCTTTATGATTAAATTGTCTGTCTTTTAACATTAAATGTTACCAGTTATTCTGAATTTACTGTCACTATTCACTGGTACGGCTTTTGTCTTCTACCTGACCTTTACTAGAAATTTAGATATCAATTCTCAAAAAGCAGTTGTCTTGCCAAGATAGTTTAGAAACATTCCTGTAACCTTCCCCATGGACATGCCTGCTGTTCTGGTTAGGTCATTGATGTTTACTTTGTCAGGTGACCTCTTAAGATGTTTGATGTTATCTCTACTGATAAGGCGTTTTTCCTGGGATATATTACAGAGTTTTCTGTTAACATCCTTAAAACTGAAATCAGACTGCATCTTTTTTTGTGTGTTTTTTTTTTTTTTCTTCGGTCACGTGTTACTTTGAGATGAGTACTAATGCATGTATGCCACTCTGGGCTAGAACATCACGGATTACGAAAAACTACTGAAATTTTTATGGTCACCCTTATGGAAATCTGTCTCCCTTTGCACCATCTGTATTCTGAGTCTTGCCTTCACAAGTTTCCTTTTGATTTCTTCCTGAACACAAAATCCATTTTCTTGATCTATTACTACTTAGTGTTTTATTTCCTTTATATTTTGCATGCAGTCTCCTAAATATCTCCTGAAGGTAAGAAACACAGTTACTTTACTGAAGACTGTAATCTTTCAGCAATTACTTTTAGTGTTCAGAAGGGTGGTCTTGAGTCAGTGAGTGTTGGAAATGATCATATGGAGCAAAGTCCAGGAAGTGTAGCACAGGTGCTGACAACAGCATTATCTGGTTTATACAAATGCCACCTGGTCAGAGCAGATGGTAAACTGCCACAAAGCAAGTGAATGCTAAAATGTTGTTAATGCTCCCTGCAAACAGGATGCTGGTTGATTTTCTTTAATTTTGTTGAGCTCTAATACAGCAACACAATCTGCTTGTGATTGGTAACCATGGTTATACTCATTCATAAATTCTGGTTTCATTTTGATAAGAACAGCTGTACTGACAATATAACTGAAATATACAAGGAGCAATATGTTTGCTGTCCATGTATACCCTCTAAAAATAACTCTTCCGAAATGCTGAAAAAGCAGTATTTGAAGCTATGGCAGTTCATCAGAGTAAGATTGCTGAAATTCTTGGCATCAAAATGGCAATTTAAAGTAATTGATAGTAACTGCAACAGCAAAAAGGAAGAGACTTACACATTCTGAGACTACCTACTTTGTTTGACACTTGTTATCCGACAACAAGATTTTCACTATATGTGAGCAAAATGAGGCAGCTCAGTTTACTTCCCAGTCATTACAAAAATGATAATTCTTCTTATACAGAAAATAAGATCTGATGGAGTTCATTGTAATGGTGACAAAAGAGGAATGCTTTTTAGAACTCAGTTCATAAGGTATTGCATCTTGACAGCTGCTTCATTGGCCAAGTATTATACTATCATAACAAAAGTGTGAAATCATTTGGAACACTTACAGGTCTCTCTGAAATCAGTGTGTCCTGCATCTATTAGAACCTGGCCTTCCCACCTCTGATAAATTACTCTGAATTACTCTCACCTGAAGGAATGACCATAACAAAAACTGAAACCAGCTTTCATTGGCAAGGCAGAGTGGGTCTGCAGTGTTTCTGGAACAGCTCTACCATCTGAGTTTTGTCTTCCAGGTTGACACGATGGAGGTTATGCGGCACCCTGAAGAAACAACTAACATGAAGCGGCAAACTATGGCTTCCTATTTTAGGGTACAAAAGTTAAATTGTAAACAAACGTTTTGGTGATAAGAACAACGGATATATTGTGGGATTGTAAGATAAAAGACAATAATAAGAGAAATTTTTTATTCTGTTGTGAGGCCTTTGTAGACTTTTAAATTTTCTTTTGCTCCTTTTCTTTTTGTTCCCTCATACTTGTACTTCCATAATTTTTGGTCTAAAAGTTCTAAAAAGTCTAAAATCCTAGAAGTTGGTCCTTGGGCTGCACTTGTACCGTGCAGAATGGGGAAGTTCATGGTGCTGTGCTGGCCAGTGTGCCCTGTAGGAATACCTGTTTTCCTTGGCATGCAAAATAGTGTAAGGAAAGACACAGAGGAAGCTGATGTATACTGAAATGTTGCCCCAGTGTGGAGGGTACAAGGACACACATTCAGACTTGCCTAGTAATACAAGTGCGTATTTAGAGTGCTCTTGCAAAGAACTACACGGATGTCAGCTGTGTAGGACCTGTAAAAAAAAAAAAACAACAAAAAAGTGGATTGGGGAATGGGTGTGAAAGTACACCATAATACGGATACAGCCTATGGGAAAGTGACCACAGTCGGCTTGGAATTGTACACGGTTTTGAGATTGAATGTATTTGCAACAAATACTTACTGTACGGTGGGTTAATGAGGCAAGTATGGAGCAGGAGTATCAGAATTCAGAGGAGTCACTGGGAAAGCAGATATATAATCTGATCACACTTTTTTTCATTTTAGTGTAAAATAGAATGGAATAAATTGTTTTCCATGTCCAGGGTAGATAGGAAAAAAGTAATGGGCTTACGTTTCAGCAGAAAGATTTAGGTTAGATGTTAAGAACGTTATGAATAGTCATGATAACGTAGCACTTCAGTAGCTTGTCCAGGGAGGTTGTGCAGTCTATAACTCCAGTGATTCTGAAAAATGGATAAAAAAGAGATGTGTCTGAAATGGTACAGATACATCTAGCGTTCTTTTTGGGCAGAGGACTGAACTGATGACTTCTTGCGACCCTTTCGTTATGATTTGCTGCGAATTTCTGTGATTGATTGTTTCGCAGTAAAGCTTGTTCTTCTTTTGGGAATATTTCATTGGTCAAATATGCCTACAGTAGAATTATAGTTAGGACATTTTTCAATTTTTTTGTTTTTACTATGGGCCTTCTTCAACTACAGAAACATGATATAAGGAGAGCTGAAAAGAAAGGTGTAAGAAGTAAGAACTAGAAAAATAATTTTCTTTTACAATTGAAAACTTTTAATAGGTTCTGGGTTTTAGCCAAAAGCTTAAAAATTAAGAAAATGTCAGTGCAGATAAACATTACAGATTAAAATATAATCAAGCATTAAATACTGTTTACAAATACATATCTCCTACTTAAGTAGTTGCATTGCAGTTTTTTGTCAAGTGTGGTTTTTTTTTCCTCACTAGTATTCCCTCATGGATCTTTTATCCAAAATGGTTGTTGGACAGCCTCACTTTGTCCGCTGCATTAAACCTAACGATGATCGAGAAGCACTGACATTTTCTTACGAGAGAGTTCTACTGCAGCTACGATACACCGGAATTCTGGAAACTGTCAAAATACGCCAAAAAGGGTATTCTCATCGCATCCTTTTTGAAGAGTTTGTGAAAAGGTAAGACTTCCATAACACGGCCGTTGTTTTAAAACTCCATTCAATAAAATATATTCTATATTTTGAATACAAACTTTGGTTTGTATATGCATGGTCTGATTCTCTGATGAGAGCAGTGACTATCAGAGGCAAAGACTACAAGAGATATCTGAGCTCTAATGGAGAAAAGTCAATGTGACACCAGCAGTGAGCGCTTAGTATTCAGTAGCAAGCTTGTACCCGTGGTTCCCTCAGTAGAGGCAACAAGTGGAAACTGTGCATCATGCTCAGATAATACAAGGATTTGGAAGGTCAATGACCTTCAGCCACCATATGAAGAATATCCCTATGTTTAAGAATTAACTAAAAGCTTTAGATTTAGAAGTATTCCTTTTAATAACTTCGTAGCCTCGTAGTTATTTGTCTTAGAGATATCATGAATTATAACCAAATCTCTGTTCACCTGAACCCTTGTAATGGCTACTATTACTGGCTTTAATACTGTTCTCAATCTCAAAAAGTTATGAATTTGATTCAGGAAATGCTGTTGTCTTTATGATGATGATATGTTTATATGATCATTACGGTTTCCTCTAGATTATGTTTTTGTGTAGTATTTACTGTTTTCTAGTCCATAGGCTTGATAACTCAATAATGGAGCAGAAGCAGTACCGTTAAGCTATCAATACTACTCAGCAATAGGAACAAGTAGTGAATGGCTAAATCAAGCATTTAGTGATATTTTCTGAACTGGAGGTTGCTCATCCAGACAATATAGAGTTTAATGAATCTACTGAAAGCAAGTCATTGTATGATGCTAAAGGGAGGGAGCTGATTATGATTTTGAGAAAGAGGAGACATAAACAGATTCACAGGCCTTTCGAAAACCCAGAGATTGGGTAAATTTACATGTGTAAATCAGTTATTTGGGCTTGGAAATCTGTGGTACTTGCACTGAGAGATGCTGGACGTTAAACCATAGCTTAATCAATTCATTCTGAAAAATCATGAAGTTTTCTGATTTATAATATATTAATATGCCAAATGAATATGTAACAGGAAAACACTAGAGATATATATCCCTGGAAGGATAACTAACGTGTTCATTTGTCCATGAAAGTAATTTAATTTTCAGACATGATCTCCATCAACTTTTTTTTTTGTGTTACGTGACTAATTTTAGTAGGATCACACCATTCTAAAGCAGGTTTAACAAAGAGATTAATTTTTGTGATCACTGACACATCTTTGCAACATCCTGAAGAGGCTGAAGGCAGAATTATTAACCTTAACTTTTATCCAATTTTCAAGTGAACTAAGATTAACTCCACTGAAATTAGTGTAAATTGAGAGGAAATTAGGCCTCCTTTTATCAGTAGATTCTTTTAATTCAAAAGTGCACTGAATTTGAGTACAGCCTTGAAAAGTAATGGTTGTAAAAGCAGCACTGACTGTAGCTTTCCATTGCTACAGATAAAGGCAAGTTGTGCTTAACATCTTGTCAGATACTCCCCAAGTTTTTAGTCCAACTTGATGTAATTCTTTCAGGAAAGAAACTCAACACCACGAGGGAAGTGTGGGGGAGACTAACAATTTGCCGAACAGCATAGGAGACTTCCTGAGTTCAGAATATAAATGTGGGGCAGGAGAGGGGATGTTCTTTCTCCTTTGTTCAGTTCATGCTTTAATTTTAAACAAATTCTGTTCTGTTTTGGTCTTGAAAAAAAAAAAGAACAATGTTTAAAAAAGCTATCAATAGAACAAGAAACATTTTTCTTCAACTTACAGCCATGACTAGTCAAGTGTTTTTAGGAACTAAGTAGTTGAATACATAAAAATGTTTGAGAAAACAGGTCAAATGCTAAACAGATTGGCACTTCTTTGTTCATAATCAAAAAGACATTAGGCAAGTATGAACAAGAGTTTCAAAATGTCAGTAAATGTGAGGATATCAAAGATTTTCTAAGCCAGCAAGTTAATTGGTATTTTGATCCTTTTGAGCAACTGAACAACAAAATGAGTGAGCCAGCACTTTTTCTCCCTTGATGTTATTAAACAAATAGGTGTGCTTCTTATCTGCCTGTTCAATAATGCTGTTTTGTAAACTCTTAGCAGGAAATATGAGGACAAAACAATCAAAGGCAGGGAACAGAACCATTCAGGGTTTATCAGGTGGGAGGTAAACAAAAGATAAAGCTCTGTCTAATGTTACTCTTTACTGTCTTCTGTTTTCATGTGTAACAGGTTATTTCAGTGTTGCAAACCTGGAGGTAGTTTATTGGGTTAAAAAACAGATGGTGAGGAGAGGACTTAATTGTAACTAATTCACACAATGTTTCTTCAGCCAAGTATACAACCGTCTGGTTTATGTGTATAAATATACATATTATTTTACTTAAAGTAGGAAAAAGTAATTTGCAGCCCCTGTAAACACTGTAGACCTGTCAAGTCTTAGGCACTTCCTCTCTGTTGGTGTTGTCTCACACTCCATGCCATCATGTGTCTGTCTTACATGTTTGCTGTGAAGCAGCATGGCCCCTTTCCCAGGTTTGAGACCCAGGTTATTAACCTGATCAGGCAACCGAGTGTGCCTGGCTTGTGGAGCCGCATGGTGACTGCACTGCACAGCAGCTGAGGGAGGTGTGCTTTCTAGCAGGGACCTGCACTGAAGGTCCCCCTGGCTGGGACGCTCCTTGCTATATCCACGTGCCCAGGCCCCCAGAGCTTCACGTGACATGATGTGGTTTGCAGATAATGTCCTCACCAGATATCCCCCAGCTGTATACACCTTATACATAATGTGGCATATACTTTACTATGGGTTGAAAGCTAAGGGACTTGAGAGTCTGGTGGTGGTAATTGCTGTCATGCTCAAAGTGCTTATAAGCACGTAGGAATGTGTTGAGAAGTTTTGTACAAGTTGCATTTAAGGATTGTCTTTTTTCTTCCTTGCACATTTATGTTCTGCATTAAATTTCTTTGTATTGCATTAGGATGTAGGATACATTTTTCCTATAAGTGCTGCCTACTCCACAGTGGCCAGATGATGTTACTCAGGTCATACGCTCATGGTAATACCAGTGCTATTACTGTAACAGTGATCCCAGTGAGGTTGGTTCTGCATTTTCAATCTCACAGTGCAAATTTACATAAGGTCACTGTTGGTACACACAGCCTTTAAGCCATCAGTCCTATGTTTCTCATTACCATATAAAGCCTCGTTGACCTTAGTGAGTCACATTCTGCACTTAGTGGAACTAGGAATAAAAACTGGTCAAATCTTGCAAAATGATGTAAAACATGTTACCTCAGTACATGCTTTCTTCTAACCCCAAGAATTCAGTGGCGATAGGCTTGTTTATTAATCAAAATCAGCGCAGCACTGAATTAAATTAGAAGTTAACAGAATTGCTTCAGAGAAAAGAAATGTTTGCTTTTAAAATGATGCATTTTTAATGCAAACTTACTTTTAACACTGAGCCTGCACTGGACCAAAGTCTCTAAGCTATTTCTGAAAACAAAATTGTAACATTCCCCATATTTTGATTTTACTGTTATCCATGGAAATGTTTGTTATTTATTTCAGTGGCTTTTAGATTTCACCAGATCTGTGTAATATTCCGGTGTGCTTCAAATGTGGTAAACTACCGTACCTTCCACATATATTTTCTAGACTCTTGTCATTCGCAGAACGCTGGTAAATGGTTGCAGGTTGGAGGAGATAGGAAACCTCTAGGATTGAAAAATCTGCTAACCCCTTTTGAATTGTATATGCAGAATGGGCTGGATTATGCCTTTCTGAGAGTAGTTCTGTGATTCCATGTTTAACTGATGATTTACAGCATAAGTGTTAGGTATCTGTTACTGAATTTCAAGAGTATCTTAGATGTTTTTTCATTTACGTTTTTTCATTCATACTCTCAATGTAGAGTCAAATGTAATTAGTTGTATGAATTCAGATGTGAAAGTTTCTGAAAGAGGTGAGATGCAACCAATACAAGTTAGGAATTTTTAAAAGTTATTTGATGGCTCTTTCAGCGCTAAAAACGTGTGGTTTTTAAACTTTCCAACTCCAGGGATGAGAAGGAACAAACGTCTTTTGGAATGTTGAGAATCTCCCTACTATTGCTGGGGTCTGGCTAGAAAGGGATTTTGCCCTCTTGCACCACATGCTTTTCACATATCATTATCCATTCTCCACCTCAGGCCAGTATATTTTAGTACAAAGATTTGTTTTAAAGAGAAAAAGGGTTAATAATTACTTTTTTTGAGTTAATTGTGTAGAATTGATGCTGTCTTTAGGTCTGGAATGTGAAGGGCACTTTAGCAGGAGACACTGGTATAGTAGTTAATGTTACTGTTTAAATGCTATTTATTGAACAGTTCCATAGTTCACCCTTTAAGGAGGTGAACCATTTGTTTACAATCAGTTTATCTAATCTAAACCCATCAACATTAAAATGCCTTGGCCATAATCAGATAGTTAATACATAGCATCATTATGAAGTTTTCCATATCTTAGCATACTTGGATGTCTTTAACATTACTGTGTATGTCCTAGCTTTGCAACTGTTGGTCGGGATAAATTCAAGTTTTAAAAACTGTTGGTTTGTCCCTAATGACTACTAAGTACAGTTAATCACATTTTAATGTATGATTTGTCTGGAATACTATTCATGTCCATGAAGGATAGTTTGTAATGCAGTAGAAGAACCGCTGCTAAGAAATACATAATGCCAGAGATTCATCAGCTCTGAGAAATTAGTTGTTCTGCTTTTCTTTTACTGAGTCTTACTGCTTCTGAGAATGGGATCAGTCAAGTACTTCTAGGAAACTGTAGATGAATGTGTGTCACATGTAGGAAATTTTCAAGCAGGATGTATAATCCAAGAAAATAACGTATTTTTGCACAAGTATGTGCATGTTTATGAAACAACACATGAAGGACCATAAACTTTATTTTTAAAAACAGAAATAAAAGTATTGGCTTAACATAGAAGAGCACTGAAGTATTTCAGACTACTGCATTTTCTGCTGGAATAACAAATACAAACATGGAAATAAAAAAGCAGAGTTGTGAAATTTTCATCTAACCTAGAAGCAAGCGATTTCTAGCTCTACTTTCATGAAATTAATATCTGTTTTCTTCTGAAATTAAGTATCAGGTTTCTTCTCTTGGTGAAATGTTGCAAATATAGGGGTCACACTGTGATCTCTGTACAATAGATTTACATAAATATGTTAGAGATGAAATTAGGCCAATAAATCAAAATGAACAGTTGTAGTTGTATATACTGCAAAGTTGTATGTGCATTCCCAGACTTTTTCGCTACCAGTTCACCATGTACAATATTTTCACACTTTTACCAGATGCATTAAGGTGAAACATTTTACCTTCCTCCAAAATATTCCAAATGGTCCATTGATGTACAAAGATTTTAGATTAGGTAAAATAATTGTATGACCCTATGTGACACATGCCATGCTGCCATACAGTTATCCTGAGCACAAGTCAGATTACTTGTGCATCTGTAGTTACGTGATTCAGTCATGAAAATAGGCACCAGATAGAAAACAGTGTTTGCTTAAAAAAAAAGTACATGGGTTTGAGCTTTGGAACTCTAATCTAGAAATCTTTTACTGTGCAGAGTGCAAACTCCAAAAAGCAGTTCTGGAAGAGAAATAGTGAAAAAGAAATTGCCAGTCTCATATTGCTAGACCTTATTTCTGATGAGTAGAGTCATTTCTGTCTTATTTTTGATGACATAACTGAAAAGGTACAGGAAGAAATCTGACATCCCAGCATGTTTAACCAGTTACAGGGGTCTTCTGTGCAGTGACTGGATCAATCAAAACATTTGGAAAAACACCATGTAGAGGAAGTTTTTATGAAATATTGGGAGACAATATGTTTACATACAGAAACTGAAGTTATTCCAATGGTTTGTAAAGTTACTGTCATTCTGAACAGCTTGGTTTCTTAGAAGACAGCTAAATTTAAATTTATTAAAACATTTGTTAAAATAGGATTTGATGAGATAAATGGGCATTGTTATAGTTATGTTCTTTTTTCAGGGCACCAAAACCAACTACGTTCTAGATCATGAAAGAGAGCTAATGGAGAGGGTACTACATTTAAAAGATATTGGAGTTTGTCATAAACAAAACAATATAGTCAGGCATGTAAATTGTGTAGCTCAAAAATACTTTTCATGTGTTCATCCCAAATAAGAAGTCAACTTCTCAGTAATTAGATTGTCATTGATAAGATAGTAAGTTTCAAAAATTATGAGATTGCTATAGCCTATTTTATTGCATCAGTGCTATCTAAAAACTGTTCAGTGGATTTAAAATTCTCACCTACAACATGCCTTAAAAGATGTATGAACCCAGAAGACTGATATTATCACTCACTTGAATTCATTCTTCCTTCCTTCTAAGGAAAGGAACTGCTTAAGTTACATACATGTGTAAATAACATGGCCATCTGAACTGGGTATTGAAGCAAACAGCAATTTACTATTAGTGCAACTTCCCTGATGTATCTGTTGAGTATCTGTTGATATTGCATGCTATCACAAATTGTTTGTGAGATGTATATTTTAAATCTGAGTTTAATTAGTGGAACTCATAAACTTGTGAAAACTGGCATCATTAAGTTCAGTAATAAGGTAGAGGAACCGTACTTTATTTCTTTTAAATACACCATGTTTCTCCATACCTACTAAATGTCATGACTCTTAGTATTTTGAAAGATTTGGCTAAAGAATTTGCAGTATCATGTTACTGAGAAAGTCACTGCCTTAAAAATAACTCAGTAGTACATAATCTCCTGTCATTATTCAGAGTGGGCAATGTCTCCACTTGGTGAATATCTACGTCTGTGGTCCAGGACTGATTTCAGTGCTTCTGCCTTCAGAGATCATTTTGTTCCCCTTTGATCTTTATTGACTATTTCAGTGGTTCTTTTTTCTTTCTTGTGACAACTGGAGCTAACATCTAGAGGTTAACTGGAGCTAATATTCTCCGTATTTATTTCAGAATGAGGTGGGATACTCTCTTGCTTCTGTGTGGCTACAGAGGAATCTGTCTTTGAGGTTCATTGGTCACATTCTTCTCTTTATGTTTTAAAGAACATCTGATGGCTTTTCCCCATGCTAGTAATTAGAAGAACGGTTTGCTCCACCTGCCAGTTCCTCTCAAACATGATGTAAATAGAGTAGCTATATTTATAGCTGTATACTATAGAAGTATAACCTAATAAAGACTAAGACAACACATGGTGGTTCATAAATGAGAGCTGAGGTGGCAGTTGCTACCATCTAACAGTGTAATTGTGCTAAAATAACCTTAAATTTGTGAATGAACTGCCACATCTTCTTGCTGTTACTTATCATACTTGTTAGCAAATAGAGTTACTTCAATACTGTAAAACCATTCTTCATTAATGCATGGTGGCTTTACAGGTTGGGATTTGTCCATTCATTCTTAATGTCTGTTCATTTCAAACGTTTGCATCCCTTTTTCATTAACTATTTGCACTATAATGTTATTTCACTTAATTGTTAGGGACTGTTCTTTGCAAGGGAAGGTGGACAAAAGAAAAGACAATGTTGATTAGTATGGGCGTGCTCCAAAGGTCACTAAAATTGATCATAATTCTTCCAATTAATTGTTTATCCTGATCAAACAGAAAAAAGACGTCATGCCTAGTGACTTAGAAACCTAATCATAACCACAGAAATCCTTGTGAGTAAAGAAAATTATTACATTTGTACGAGGAGTAATTAACTCTTTTTTTTTTCTTTAAAATAGCTGCTAGTTCCATTTAACCACCGGCACTGATAAAATCCTTGCCAATATGATAGGAATGCCTGTTGTTTTAATTATGCATATATATGACCTCTTCTGGAGGTGTGAAACACAGGTGGGTGTTCATGCAGTCCGAGCATCTTGCTGTCTGTAAATGAAGATTGATATGAGAGTTAGTTTTACTGTAAACTAACCTTTATTCTTCACACATAGTGGCAGCCTTTCAGCTACAATAATCAGTCAGTATCACTATATCATTGTACTGCCTACCTTCCTAGTGCTGGCCTTTATCTTCACTGATTGAGAATCCTCAGTCTCTATTCAGCATACTGAAAATGGGAAGCTCCCCTAAGTTGCATTGATGGGGGTGACCTTGTTACAAGCTCAAGAGCCTTGGACTTCTTATGTGGATTTATGATTCCCAAAGGATGTCAACACCATTTATATTGCTTTGTGAAAAATGACTGATACCGGTAACTAAAATATTGAAAGATTCTGAAATGCCTTTTTTTGACATTTGTCGTAAGAAACAGGTATCAGGTCATGTATAACTTACTTTTTGTGCTTTTCTCTTTCTTTGGTGCTAGTATTTGACTTTTCTTCCACTCAGAAATCTATAAAGATCCATTGAACACCTCAGGGAGCACCTGCTTATTCAACAGAACTTGTAGTGAGATGTAACTGTGCCAAAGTATGTAGATGGCGTACTTATTTTACACATTGTGCAAAAGATTTCATTTTTGTTTTTCTTTCCATTACTCTGATTTCTAGCACTTTTACTACTTCTCCCGGTCATTCATTCACTCGTTCACCTGAAAAATTCAGACCAACCTTGGGTGTTTCCTGAGTTGCACTGGTTTGTGAAAGACCTTTATGGATGATTACACTGACTGGGGATTTCTAGAATGCAGCAGATTCTTGTCATCACTATGGTACCACTTATTTTCCTATGTTATGTATATGCTCAAATACCTGTTCATGACAGCTGTGTCATGCTTTATAGAGAGGACTGAGTACAAGGGAGAATTTGGCCTATGAATTCTAGAGATGCAGCTCTGAGATAGAGAAGAGCAGTGAGAGTACATATTGATTATCAAGTCAATTCTTTGTCATTTGGTTTTGCAGGTATTATTACCTTGCATTCAAGGCCCACGAGACTCCCCTTGGTAGCAGAGAAAACTGTCTTGCCATTTTGGAGAAATCTAAACTAGACAACTGGATTCTTGGGAAAACCAAGGTAGAGGGTGCTAACATTTTCTCAAGGATAGTATCCTTTTAGCAAAACATATTTAATAGTGGTTTGAAAAGTACTGCATGAATGAACAAAAGAGCAAGGAATTTGCTCCAGTGAGCCTCCCAGGTTATAGAGGTGCCCTCCCAAGCCAGCTGAGTTACTGCTGCAAGAGGAGGGGTGCATTGGGTACCTCCCCAAAGCACACGCTGCACGTGGCTGCCTTGATAAGGACAGTACATCTGTCAATGCCTGCTGTGGTAGTTCCTCCCTGAAGTTCCTCCTGCTCTTAATCATGGCATAACTGAAACTTCGCACTCTGGCCCATCCTGTGAGTCTGGTTAGTACGTTATCCATTTGTGGAGTTTCAGGTGAGATCCATCTGGCTCTGTCAAGAGCCTTTGTTCATGATTTAAAATGGAGTCGATGACTTCTGTGGAAAGGCTGTTATACAGTATCTTGAATTGTTTTACAGTACACAAAGGGAAAACAAGGAGAATTTTCCTGCTTAAGACCCAGATAAAGTATGTAAACACCCATAGGATTTGCCTCCTGAAGCAGAATTCTGTTAGACAATATTATGTCTAAAAACAAATTCAACCCAGGATTTATCTTCCCAGCGTCAAGAAAGGCTTTATTTCAAAATTGTTGAAACCTGAAAATATCCCTCTGGACAATTTACTTTGTAAAGGGGGTAAATATGTGGTTTCTTTTGCAATGGGGTGATTATAGTCAGTGGAATAGTGAAATTCCACAAGCACACTGAGAGCAAATATTTGATTCACAAGATTGCTGTGATAGCAGCAACCGGTATTTTACCAGTTTTCTCAGCAATGGTCCCCTAAAGTAGGCTGACGGAAGACTAATGAAAAGGCAGAACACAAGAGGTTGTGTTGCTGCCTGCATGTAATACAGAATTTTTTGTTTTGTTTTGTTCCATTTCAGGTTTTTCTAAAGTATTACCATATAGAGCAGTTAAATTTGTTCCTGCGAGAAGTTATAGGAAGGGTGGTGGTCATGCAAGCCTATATCAAGGGATGGCTTGGAGCAAGGAGGTACAAGAAAGTCAAAGAGAAAAGAGAAAATAGTGCTGTTACCATACAGTCAGGTGAATGTTTACATTCCCCATTTCATCAAGTGTCTTTGCATTTCAAGCTGTTAAATCTTATGTACATTGTTTATTAATTTGTAATAGTTTATTATGAATTCAAAATAACTGGAGGTGCTTTTCTTTCCAGCTAATTGATGCAAATGTTATTGATTTACTTCTAAGGTGTCATCTTAGTATTTGGTAATGTCTTTATTTAAACATTTTAGTATTTTGGATGCAATACCTGTGCACAAAATGAAAATACTGTTAGGTGTGTCTATGCTAGCATGCAGCAAATAAATGAAATGCAGTAGCATACGCCCCCACCCCCAATGTGTACCAGAATTCCAGATAACATATGTCGTGGGGTGGGCCTGAGAGGCTGATTATCAGTAATTTAGCAGGCTTCCTTATATCGAATTTGGGGAGCTGTGTGCAGAGGGGAGTTCATCTGCTGACATGATCGTGCACCTTTGCCTTTTGGGTTAGGACATCAGTGAGCACGTGGTGACAATTAAAATTTGGATAAGTGAAGCAGTGTTTGAAGTTGTGGGGATGCAAATACTGCAGTCGTGAACCCAGAGTTCAACATGTGGGTGGGTGGGGAGAGAGGTATTGGGGGTGGGGGTGAAATGATTATGGCAGGAGGGATGAAAGTTTCATCACATCTCTGACTCTGTATACTCTGTAGCCTTTCCTTAAATAAATGTAATTTCCAGCACATGGTTTTGTATTTTTAGCCTGGAGAGGATATGAAGCTCGCAGGAAGTACAAGGAAATAAGGAACAGAAGAACTGTTGCCGCTATACATATTCAAGCAGGTAATTAAAACATTATTTCAATTGCCAACACCTATTTTGCTTTGGGTGATTTCACGTGTCAATGTTTATAGCCAAGAGAAATACATACAGTCCAAACAAAAGCTATCAAAAACATTACTTCTGATTGTTTGTTCTTCAGTATCAAATGACATCAGTGACAGGTATCAGGCACTTTTGGCGTTTTGTAAGTACTTCTCTGGAAGCAAAACATACTGATTGAAAGCTGTTGAGGTAATTCTTTAAGATTCTTCTGAGCACAGTCAGTATGATTCAACTATATGTACAGCTGGGATGAAGCACTGGATTGATTTGACTGAAAGTGTGGATGGGAGGCACTGGACATGCACTTCTCTGTCTTTGTGTCAAGCCCTGGTCTTGGCAGGTTGCCAGGTTTTTGTTTGGACTGCTTGCTGGGTTTGCCAGCTTTGGCCAATCTTTTGACTCTCTGCCAGACTCCTATGCTGCCATATCAATATGAATTTGAATAAACTTTAAAGAGATTATTGGAGGAACAGGCCCATAGGGCTGTGTAGGTCTCTGGTAGAGAGCAGGGTACCATATGGCAGAGAAATCTAAGAACCAGTGCCGTGAACTCAATGGTGTTTTCAGATGCTGCCAATATGAAGCAGCCTCCATATGATGCAGTGTAGTACACCTTCCCTGTCCAACCCCAGGTTGAAAGACTAACTGATCAAAAATGAGTTGTAGCAAATGTGTTTACAGCTAAACAAAGGTGTACCACCTTTGTTCTATCAGCTTCCTGTGCTATAATTCTTTAAGCTTTGTCACCTCTCTATTCTGTATCATATAGTCTAAAGTCAATCTGAAAAAGATGTGTTCTAAATATTGTTTTGCTTTGTTCTCAAGACATTTCCAGTAAATTAATTTGTTTTTCCTTTTGTATAAGTTTGCTACTCTGAAATTAAGCATCACTGTGACTTTCAGCAGAATACAGACTACCAGTCTAGTTACTGAAAGGAACAGAGTATCATTAGGATAAAATAATAATTTACAGCTTTGCATGCATACTGTTGTGTAGAATCATGAACTATAGCTTTAGGGTCAAATGCAGAATATTCTATTAAATGGAGAACTGTTAAGGAGAATTTTTTTCTCCCATTACAACAAGCACTGAAGGACTGCATAAGTACTCTCTCCACTTCTTCCTCTCCTTTGTGTTGTCATTTTTTATTGTTTTTGTGATAGCAGAGAGCAGATCTTAAGATATCCCCTGCAACTAATTTCTGGAATATTTGCTACATTTGCACTTGGCCATACCTGAACTTTGATTTCCTGACTTAAAACAGTCTTTTGCCATAAAAAGGAAAGTGAAACAGTTGACCCATCACCGTCCCACTATTACCAGTTCCTTAAGATGGGAGTTATCTCAGGTTCAGTAGAAAGCTGATGTGTAGCAGTATCACTTGGAGACTGTAGGTGACATTCTGCCTTAGAGTTTTATCCAGCCAGATTTCTTAGGTGTGTAGGAGATGCGTGCTCATTACTAGCTCTTTAGAGAAAGCAACAGATCTATTCTGTTGTTTGCACACATGGGAGAGATTCAGAGCCGTGTTTCTTCCTGCCATCTCTTAGATGCTGCATTGAACATAGTAGAGCAGAGGCAGTGGGAGCGTATGCTTACCCTTGAATTTGGACACTCCTGTTGAGCCCTCTGGACCTAATGCAGGAGGAGGGCTGTTAGCACTCTTCCCACCAACACACACGCTGTCTTCCTTTGTAACATGGCACTTGACAGTTTCAGTGATCAGTTTGGGTGAATAAGCATTAAGACTGTAGGGTTAAGAGTGACACAGTGCACCTTTGTATTAATTAGGCTGTCTGCTCCTCCTATCTTAGGTGCTGCATTCAAAGGGGTGAAATAATAATAATCCTCAACACATTTCTGTCTGCCTTTGGAAACCTATATCTAGAACTTCTTATTTGAAAATTATTCTTGTGCACATTTTCTCTTCTCTGCATGCTGATTGTTCTGTGTTCCCAATCAAAGCTCATGCTTGCTAATGGTGGCCATTTTCCAGGTTTTAAAATACACTGACAGTCTTTCTGTTGTTTACATTACACTGTCCAAATGCCTAGTGACATGGAGACAAAAGCCACTCCAAATTTCTTCCTTTCCTGTGCATCTTATAATGTAAGTATGTAATTCAAGGCAGCTTTCAAGTAAAATGGAGTATGACCACCTTTTGTTTTTTTCCTTGGGTTTTTTGTTTGTTTGTTTGGTTTTGTTTTGTTTTGTTTTTTTAAATGATCCATTTCAGGCAGTGGGATAGATAGTTTGCATTTGTTGTCCAGACATTAGCAAAACCATATAATTAAAATACATGTACTTTCCTCTCCTTTCCCTCCCCCCCTCTCAAGGAGGCCTTGAAATTTAGGAAGCATTTGGCTTACATGTTTCTACAGAACAGCACATATTGAAATTTGTTTTCCTTTCATCTCTTTCCCAATAAAAGCAGCCGCTCGGCTTATCCCTTTAGCTTCCTCAGAACTTCCTTTCAGAATTCCCGATCTATTACAGCACATTCACATACCAGAAACAAGATGCCTTTTCATGCTGTCAACCTTTTTCATCTGAAATGTAAATTAATTCTTGCTGGTACGCTTTGACAGAGATCAAAGTAGGGGTATTAACCTTATTGGGCCTTCTCTTCATCAGAATCAGTTCCAAAGACTGCGAGGGTAGTGTTAGGAGGCCAGTCTTCACTGTTATCTATGGCCCTCCTCCAGGCAGTCCTCTGTCTACAAGTCAGCATTTCAAAGGCGCTGATTTCTTTTGTAAATGACCTTATCATTACTTTAAACTGTGTGAAAAATGATTTGCCTGAATAATTCTTGCAGGATTATCCTGCTCATTTTAATTGTGGGGGGACTTCATTCAGATTCCAGGATATTGTTTAAGTGATTTTGACAGCAAGTGATCATAGCCTGATATAAAGGAGGAACACAGCTCCTGATTGGAAACCTCTTGACTTGTTCAGATTGTTCATTTCTTGCAAGTCAGTCTTTGAGGTAGGCTGCATTTGCATTTTAAAAATAAACAGATGCCTTTCAAATACATGAGCTGGTGGTCTGGAGATCTCTGTGGGCCCAGCATTTCACTATCCATTGAAGAAATGTTGGAAGAAAAAGCAAACTTAGAAAGAAAACAGCCCTCACAATATACATGAGGATACAATTCCTGAGTGTATTATATTACACACACAAAAAAATCATTATTTCAGCTGGGGGAAAACACCCTTGCTAGGAAACAAAATATTTGTGAATTTAAATTAGGTGGAGAAGAAAAAGCTACCCTACTTCAGCATATCTACATCACAGGCTCTCAGAATACACAGATGTTATTAGACTCATGGCCAAAGCAGAACACAGGGTACACAAGGCCTTTCCTACTTCTTCCAGTCACATTCCCAAACTGTGAATTTTTAACTTAGAGACAAATTGTAAAGAATGATTTTGTGTGAAGTGTTTGAGTTAACAACACTTTTCACTTCTATTTCTTTGTAATTGGGATTTGTATTGTTTTTATTAAATCTACATAAAACCAAAAATATTTTGTTAAAATAAAGAGTTGTTTTTAAATTATGTTGCCAGATTCACAGCTGGCTTATATCAGTGTATATCCACTGAATCATCTGGCTGAAGTGTTCCTGCACTCATTTATCTCATGTGCAAGTCTCATGTAATGTTTCTTTGTATTGGAGTAACGCATTAATTAGAATCTAAAGCAACAGATAATGCAGTTATAAAAGTTCATTTTCTTGTTACGATAGCATGTATTTCCATGCATTGTTACTGATGTCCCAAAAGACTTAAGGGAGGATTTTAATCTGGTTATTTCATTTGTGAACTGACATTGCCAAAATGCCAAATGAGTGGTGCATGCGATTCACTTAGATCCGAGGTGACATCACTGAATTCATTTTAATTAGGCCCACTTTAGCCATCTGGAATATACTGTGCAGCTCTGGTCAGGACTGAGTTTAACTATGCTTCCAGAGGTGAAAGGCAAATGACTAATCCATTGAGCCACCATCTCCTCCTCCAACACGTGCTCGCACATTCACCATATGTCACATTGTATTGGAAAATTCTTTATCAAGAACTCAAGACTTGGGCTCTTTTTTTTTTTTTTTTTTTAAATAAAAAGCAATGGATGTTCAGAAGGAAATAGATGAAGCATCCCTTTGTAAATTGCTTGCTCTCCGAAACTTCTGCCCATGCAGTGTTGCTCACTATTTTCATATCTGTAACATATGCTTCTGGCAATATTTACTCCATTATAATTAAAAAAAGAGGGCCTAAGAACAGCTGTAATTTACTATTTTACATTTATAATAAATGTAAGCTTTTAAAAAAAGTTAACTTTAAATCTTTGCTGTTGAAAATCCCAATGTTGGCTTCAATAGAAGACAAGGAAGTATTTCTTGAAACCTCTGTATTTATCCATCTTTTTATGCCACTATGTACATGTGTGTGTACATGCATTCGGCTAATACTATTGTACAGACCTAGGAACTGCATGAGTAAAATATTCCAAAAAAACTTCTAAGCACTATATAAATATATCTACAAATAGTTATATTTTTTAATTTTCCTGAAAATAACTACTGCTAAGTATTAGATCCGGTTTTACTTTTTTATATCATTAATTTTCTTCCTTTTAACTACATTATCAGTGTAAGAACCATTGAAGACATGTATGGCTCCTAATGGCAGCTGAACCAACTCATGTATACCTTGATTTCACATTCAGAGTAAACCAGACTGGTTTGTATAGGCTGCACAGTTTTGGTTAACTTTACTCTTCCATCTCTTCGTGTTCTGTACCAGCTTAGGACATCTAGTAATTTTTCACTTTTAGTCTAGTAACCACTAAAAGCCTACTGCTCATGTGCAGGGAACATGTTAGGAAAAGTGAGAAGGTTTGAAGTATGAGGTTCTATATCCTGTCCCCATCTCTGAGCTAAGCTCTGTCAATGTGAATATGTCTGCATTTCCTTATGGTTTTCTCTCCTGTTTTTGAGGAGATGAACAGGAGACCGTTCTTACTGGACTTCATGCCCTTGCTAAAATCAGGAAGGGGCAAGAATGTACATTGTCCAACAATATGTTGGAAAACCTATTCCTGTCCCTTGCTGATATTGACAAGGAGTCTCACAGCCATCTTCACTTTTTTCACTTTGACCAAATCTCAAGGTCAGAGACTGTAATGCATAGTATTAAAAAACCCTCTGTCCAAATTGTGATGTGCAGCCTGGGTGAGTCTTCCTGGTAGTCACTGCTTGTTACTGATGGTTACTGCTTGTCTGTGAGAATCTGTGACTTGCTTTCTCATAATGCTTCTGCTGGAGAACTGTTTTTTTTTTCTGCTATTAAACAGGCATCACCCAATATCCATCCAGAGTGAGAGGTGAAAGAGGGGAGGTATTCATGGGACCCAGCAAAGGATGTAACTCTTCATCCCTTTTGCTGTTCATTGGAATTAATTTGGCATGGAGCGAAGCATTAGATTCACGGGCTCCAAATCCTCTCAGATGTTGTTAGTTAAGCTGCTGAATGCTCTTTTAACTAGGCAAATTAAGAAAGTGATGTGCTGTTCATAGCAAATCAACTTCTGATTACAAACTACCATGATATGTTCTCTTCAGCAAGCATGAGCTTTCGTTTCCAAGTTGCTGTTATATGCTATTTTAGGTGATATTATAGATTAGAAATGTGTCTGTAGAAAGTGTCTGCTTAACACGATTCTTTACAACTGAGAATGACTCCTTCTGCTGTTTAAAATACTACTTCATCTCCTTTCTTCGTTCTTCTTGTATAGACCTGTGATTGTTTAGCTTTGATCTTTCTACATTTTGCTTCACAGTTTGCTCTGTAACTATATATTTCCTGTAGGAATCAGAGGGAAAGTACCTGGACTTTTCTTATCTGTAATTGTGTGGCATTGTGTGTAATGTATATACCTTGGTACCTAGGCCTTAAAATAAAGGTATTGAACTGCAAGACATGAAATTTCAGACTCCCTGGGGTAAATACATTCTTGGTTTGCTAGGTGCTGGAGCTGACAAAAAAACTTGCTTTGTGTGAGAATTGATCAGTACATGAAGTAAAAATTCATGTTCTAAATTGTGACACACAAAACATTTAACACTGAGTTACTAATAAAAGTGTTAAAATTAAATTCAGTTCCTATGTTGGTTTTCAGATCCTGTCGTCTTTGGCTACATAAAGATCAGAGTTAAAGATACTGTTGCTGGAAAGTTTGGAATATAGACTGGATAAGGTGAAAATGATGTGACAGCTGGTAATCATTCTTCTTCAATGATGCAGTGATTGTTCATGGAGCAGTAGCAACATGAGTCTGCTAATTTCACACTCTTTGAGCCAAGTGCTTAGTGTCAAAACCAGCACCAGTCAGTAATGCAAATTGCTGTGATGGAGCAGCTTCCCAGCCTCTCAGACTCCCCCAGTAGAATTCTCTGCATATGCATTTCTTTTGAAACATTATAGATCCAGTTAATAAATGTTGAAAAGATGCAGCCCTACTAATGCTTGATGAAGCTTTTGAGAGAGAGAAGTTTGTTTATCCTGCTACTTTAGTTATCCCATGAGTCAAAGGGAAAGCAGGAAAAATACAGCAATTTACCTGTCAGATTCAAGGTATACTAGAAGAACGTTAGAAACCAGCTTGCAGAAAGGTTAAGTTGAAGAGGAGTTGATTTTGAAAGTATGTGTGAAAACAAAAGACAGGGTAAAAACTATGATTCTTAAATAAGATATAGCAGGTTTTATGTAGTGAATGAGGGAAAGACCAAAATGGTTACACTGACATTAGTAAGAGTCTCTGGGAAAAAGAATTAAAAAAAATAAAATCACAGTAGCTGTCAGGGTTGATTTCATAGACATGCACACGCATGCAAAGAACTACTAAAAGCTGAGAAATTACTAAGGATAAAAATGTTTATCTTATTAGTTCATTTGTTTCAGTGCTTCTTTATAGTAGTCCATTGACTGACTGATAATCAGCATGTTTCAGCTGCAGAGGTGGCTGCTGGCCAGCTGTCTGCTGCCAATATCGGAGTAGGCTCCTTGTCTGGTCAGTAGGGGATAGTTAAGGATTGGAAGCCTGATCACACGGGGCAAGTGAATGCTTGCCTCATCTCTGCCAGACAGGCAGACTTTTCCAGTCTGATTATTAAGGGCAGAAAGTTCCTCAGCCTCATGATACCTGAGCTCTGTATTCTGTATAACACCTCAGCAGGCCCAGCTTCTGTCATGCCTTCTGTAAAGTGAATGGTTATTTATTTTAGTAACCTCTCATTAAAAGGCAATTTTTGCTGCTTCTTACCCTAGGAACCTCAGTAGCATTGAAATGCTCAGATTGTTATGGTGCATTGCCTAGCACAGCTTGAACTGTTCAGATGGTTTTCATTTTCTTATATTGCACGAATAAGTGCAACACCACGTAGTTTTGTGGAGGGAGGTGGCTAAAAAGACAAGCATTAGCACTGTACAGGAATGAAAACAGAAGAGAAGGGATTAGTTACAGCCCTTTCCTAAGGGAAAGAGCAGATGTAATCAAGGTAGCTCTATTTTGTTTCCTCCACCATCTTTTTGTTACAAAAGAACCCCCATGAATGGGGAGCTAAATTTATAGAAGTAGTTAAATGGAAGAAAAGAAAAATCAATCAATTATCTTATAATTTGTTAATAATTGAGGGATTGCAAATTCTACAGGGTCTTTATTCTCTGTTGCATAGGTAATGCCTACTTCTAGAGGCATGACATACAGGGAAAACTTGTTAATCTTCTGATCAACTTCTCTGTTTTCAATTTATTCTATATTTAATCTACCTCCCGATTTCCCATTGTAATCTACAATGTTATCTTGACTCTGATCCTACATGAGGCTACCCTAGACTCCATTTCTGTGCATGTCCTACATCCCACTATGATATTTAACCCTGGATCCTAAGAACATCAATGAGAGGGCTCTTCTCCTCCTTTGGGTAATTAGTCCCCAAACTGACTCTGCTTTTGCTCGTATTTAGTGTGCTTAAAAGCTTTTCCTGGACACGGAATTATTTTTCCTTGAAATCATAATATTTCCTGATCTTAACTTCAATTTTCTTTTACATATTGTCTCGCTGTTTAAGTTGCAGTCCTGCTAGACTAACAAACAGCTCCTTTCCCTCACAAATCTCAGCCGCCTTATTCAGCAACCGCTTGTATGCTTCCACTATGACATTGATACTGTACTTGTTTTTTTTGTTATTCAGCGCTTTCTCCCATTTTATCAAAGTATTTCTACTTAAAATAATGCTTGAAATAAAACCTACAAAAATAAAATTTAAAAATTTCTAGGTTTAAGTGTTTCTAGTCTTTGGTCCTAAGTGCAGTATGGATCACTGTCTGTGGTTTGTGCTGGAGCTTTATTACTAACTGCTTGCAAGTGTCAAGAATTCAAGCAAATTAATGTCAGATAAAACTACAGAAGTAATTAAGTTATTTAGGTACCCAGATCCAGAGACAGTCCATGGAAGTAAAGGATGTAGAGATCTTCAAAGCGTTATTCATTGCCATTTTCTTTGCCATTTCATTTCACTGCATGCTTGCTACTTCATTTAGTATTTCTAGTGATTGTTTTGTTCTGCTCCTTTTTTTATGAATGGTATAAATTCCAGTCTCTCTAGATTTTTTTCCGTAAGTATTTGTATGAGAAGTATTTTAAATATCTTATTATGGTTACAGTTAATTAAAAAATAGGAGAAGACATTATTATTTTTTCTGGTTTTAACTGAATGTATCTGTCCCTGGCTTGTCACCCCCCCTAGCCCACAATGAAAGCAAGTAAAACTTCTGATTCTGTAAAATTCTGACTAGCTCAAATCATGGGAGTTGTGATTAAAGAAGGTGTCTTGGGAGTGATTTTTCTACTATGTATTTTAATACATTCTAATGGATGCCTATTCAAATTAGACGTGTTCTCCTTTTGAGGCCTGTTTTCCTTACCTGGGCTATGCCAAATGGTCACTATAACAGTGAGAGTGTAAGGCACTGTATGATTTCCAGCTGTTGTTAACGTTGCAAACATTGGAGCCACCCCTGTGAGGAGCTAAGTGTTCTTTCTGTCCACTGTTTCAGTAAAATTTGAGGGCATTCAGCTCTGCACTGCAGACCAGGTGCCAGTCTGCATTTCAGGCTCTGCAGAATTTTTCTCTCATTCATAACTATGTTTTTTAGCTTTCAGGGGATATATTTTTCGTAAAAACTACACAAGATTGAAAAACTGCACTGGCTGTTTAGCAGATCCTCAGCTTATGAGCAGCTGCTCTACTTCTGATTTTGGCTGTGAAGACCACTGGTGAGTTGAGTCCTTTGCTGTCTGTTTTCTAAGAGAATTCATTTTCCACACAATGACATCTGAAAGGAGTAGGTGTGTCATCATGATTCAGCCAGCTCTTAGGGAATCTGCCATTTTCTGAGAATGAGCACCTGTAGGTTAGCCAGTCCCTCCACCAGCTTAGTCATCTCAATATTCTACCAGTTAGTGGAATTAGATTTATTTGATGTGCTGTTTGTCCTGGGTTGCTGCCTTGTTTCTGTCCGCTTCTTGGAAGTACCCAGAATACCGTAGACTGTGGATCTGATTGCAGGTGCTCAGCATTTCGGAATTGACTGCAGTGCATGTTATTGAATTCTCAAGAGTAGAAAGTTACCCTTCAGTGTCTGTAAAGCTCCATGCAAACCAGCAGTGAGATAGGGAAGAGCTGTAAAAAGCGGATGGACAAGTCACTGACAGAAAGCCTAGGAGTACTGTAAACCATAATAGTGGTGCCCTCCTCTTTGTAGAGGAAGGGTATTTTAATCTTCCTTGCCAATGGAATCACTCCAGACAAATGCCCCTTGACTCTTCCTTGGATATGATAAGCAAGAGGGATCTGTTACATGTTTAGCTGTTGTCAAAGTCTCCGATAATGTTCTAGGATAGGTGGCTGCATTTGCTGGATTAATCCCTTTGATTAGCAAATTTCAGTGACTAAGAGTTATGAGATCTCTCCTGCTGTGGCATGGGCATGAGGACATCTCAGTGCTTCTTCCCATTCTTATTTCTGTTATTTTATATGCTTCCTATATAGCATATAAATGCAGGTTCTGTTACACCTCTTCAGAGTTTTCTGAAGAAATCAGACTTGCTTGACTGTAACTAGATGCTGTTATTCCATTAAGAAGATTTTTTTTTAAAATAATTGTTAACTTCTCCAACATAGTATTTCTTTCTCTGTGTATGCTCATAATGTTGAGTTATGTTAACTTACATGCTGATTTCAGTTGATTTAGACTGAATGTCTGCTACATACTCTGGTGCATTATTATAGGATTCTGTTCCAGTGTAACCACCTGCATTCTTGTAGGTTAATAGTGCTCTAGAATCACTTGCTCACAGTATTCTGTTTACAGCAAGGAAAAGGTTCCAGGTATTGGACAGGGACTAACTAAGAAGTAAATAAATAAATAAATAAATAGGTTTGATGATTTTCAGGGAAAAGAATGAGCCCACTGTGATTTACCATCGTATCTCTGTCTTTGAATTGCCTCACTGCTCAGTGGGGCAATGAGTTTCCTAATTTATGATTTCTTTCATGTGCATGCAGCTCCTTCTATCTGTGAAGTACTTAAGGGGTGTGTATCTTGTGATCTCTGTAGAACTATTGATGATCACGTAGTCATTTGTTCTCCAGTCTGCACTGAGTTAAACACAAGAGCTAATAAGCTGTCTATTATCAGTTTTCTTTGGCATCCCAAGTTATAATTATTTACAATGTAAATAGACTTTTTTTTTTTCCCTTTTACTGATCTAGAGCTTTCACCCAGACTTTTTTGGAGGCATACAGCCTATTTAAACTTTTTTCTTCATCTGTTTTATGTGTAGTTAGCCAGAAATGGTTTTCTTCCCTTTTTGTATTAGGCTGTTTCCGGAATTCCTTGTTGCTCTCCAAACAAAGGTATTTTTCTGGATTAGGTGCATCTTGCTTGATTGTACATCCCTTGAGGCTCACAAAGATTTTATGGTTCAGTAATTGTTGTGGTGAATGTGGGCCCTATGAAGAACAAATATAGAGACCTGTAAAGCTATTCAGCCACCGAACTTACATTGAAATCAATGTCTAAATGCCTTTACATATCTGGCCTGAAGGTGCCCGTGTGAAATACATTGGCCATTCCAGTCTTGCACCCAGTCCTGGTTGCTATGCACAATCAGACAGACAAGTGAATTGATACCTTCTTTTGCATGGAGTTGCTAAACTGCCGTTACTGCTGGCGGTTCTCAAGTTTAACCCCACCAAATATTGGCAGATTATTTGCCTAATCCTATAAATTTCTCAACAATGGCCTCAGGTTCCAGTGATTTCAGTGAGACTTCAGCATTTCACAGATGATGTTCAGAAACTTAGGACTAAATCCAGTAACTTCCCATAAATCAAGCCTAACTTCTACACGTAGCTGTTACTGGGCTGTTGTGTTTTAAGCATATGGCTGTTCAGTCACACAGGAAACTTGTAGGAAACAGGAAGGCTGCTGAATAATACAGCAGATGTTTAGCACAGTAGCTGGTAATCTGTCCCTAGAGAAGACAGCCTCGCTGTGGCTTCACATACTGTGGAACTGAAGTACAGAATAATAAGATATTCTTTTCTCTTTGTTTCCTTTAATTTCTTTTAATTTCTTTCATTTTTGTTTACTTTTTTTTCTAACTGGTAGTTTTGGTAAATGAAAAATGAGATTAAAGGTACTCAGGATCAGAAAGCAAAGTCATATATAGTTCTGTTCTGTTGAGTGCATAGGAATATAACTATACATTTAAATGTATGACAACCTGCTGCTTTTTCAAAGATTTGTTAAAAAAAAGAAGTTACAGTATTATAATATATATAAAGCACTCCATTTTACCAAGTAATGAATTTTAAAGTATTCAGAAGAAATAGGCACTTTAAAAAAATTCAGTTCCTTCAAGAAAATTGAATCTTTACACCTAGTTCATGCTCTTCAGTCGGTGAATGCAGGACATAAGCAAACTCAAGCTAATAAATGACGTAGGATGCTAACTAAATGCACACATTAGTTCGTTTAACATTGCATGTTAAATGTTTCCTGCATTTATATGCTTGACTTGAAAACAGTATCAACTGTGTTCAAATGCAAAATCTTTCCTGTATGAAGCTGGTGTCACAAGTTACTGAAGACATGTTGAGAATTTGCAAATATCGTTGATAGGAATAGAAGTAGGTATAGGGAAATAATGTAAATGTTAGCAGGGAAGTGGCTTTGTCTCATTGAAAAAATGTTTTTCCATTCAGTTCCGCAGAGCTGTGGAGTTGCCTGTGACTGCTGCCGAAAAAGAGTCATGGGATTAGTTGTACACCTGGGAGACTGACACTAAGACTGAATTCCCCCCCAAAACCCAAGCTGAGTATGCAACACTTGCATAGTCTTTTCTTGACATTATCAACCACTGGGATGAACCTGCAGGCCTGCGTGGCATGAAGGAACTGAATCACAATCAAACCCTTTCCCAAAGTAGCTCATTCAAAACTTAAAAAGGGAAGTTATTTTAAAGAGCCAAACATGGTCAAGACAATTCAAATGAGGAAGGTGAAAACCTTTCAGAGCCCTTTTTACAACCCTGCTGAATAGCAAATTTACTCTTCTGCAGAGAGATGAATAGGCAGCAGGGAAGGGAGGAGTCTGACAGGGTCCCCTCTCACAATGCCAGCATGGACAGTAGCCTCGCCTCATGTCTGCCTCCATTTTACAATTGGTCATCACATGAAATCAAAGATGCTGCATTTTGCAATGGCATAGCTACGATTTCAAGTTTGCATTAGGGATCTCTGGAGCTAATCGGGAATAATCTGTGGAGAATGGAGAAGTCATTGTCTATAACAGATCTCTAGTGAATATATTTTTGATAAAAGTTCTTAGCAGGATAACCTACAGTTCAGTGACTAAGGACCTTAATCTATGCTACGTTGTTCATGTTCTTGTTCAGACAGAGCTGTCATCCTCAAATATCTTTAAATCCATTTAGAATCTTGACAAAGCGTCTGTAACCTGCACGTTCCACCACCTTCTTATCCATTTCCTTCCCAAATGAAAATTGTGTTAAATAATACTGGTCTGTTTGTTACTTACCGTGGAAAATACTTCCTGTATTGTTCTTTTTTTCCTCTAGCTCACTAACTGCTGAATATCAGAATATAAGTTATCTACATGTACATGATCAGTGGCCGTATACTGTGTAATACAGCAGAAAGCATTGTTTCCACACAGTGACTTTGTTACACGTCAGTTATGTCTGTAACTGTAACTGTGTCAGTGATTATTCCTTGCTCCTTTGTTTCCTTATGGAGCTCTGTATTAGGGACACATGTTGGAAGATACCTGACATCGAGAGCAGTTTACACTCTTGAGTGGAATTCATTGTGATTTTTCTTCTTACATCTTTCTCTTTTTAGCTAGTTGGCATCATGTTCACGCTTTGGTCAGCATAGGTTCTCAGAAACAATTAATTTTAGTAAAACTCTTGACGTTCACATGAGACTTAGGTAATCAAGACTGGATAGTAAAGCCTGAACAAAACTACACAGGCATACCAACTTAGGTGTTTGGAAAGTTACAGACAAAGAATAATTTTCAGCGTTTGTCTGTTCTACAGGAAGTATGAATCTGAAAGTCAAGTTCCAGAAATGGGTCTATTTCTGCTTATTAATGGCTTGACTGATGAAGCAGAATCTGGTTACTAAATTAGTATCAATTCTAATGGAGTGATCGTTACAAGAGTTTAAGAGGGCAGGATTAGAAATGGAGGTACATGGACTGTAACAAACCACAAAATGTATATCAGTCAGTAACGGCACCCTGCTCCAAAGTTTACATTCGGTAGTAGCAATGAGGATGCATACTACCTCACATGTGCATCGTAACATTTTCTCATCGCTGTCAAGACCTCAGTTAGCGTGGCGTAGTAGACACTGCACTTCAAGAAAGTGAGCAAGTTACTCAGCAGCAAAAATGATTACATCTCCATAAACCATGATAAGGGGAGATCTCTTAAGGGAGATGGAAAACTGAGGGTACATGTGATATGATTTCTCCAATGATGAAAGGCTGATGTGAAGAGGAAAGGAACAAACTCTTCTCCATTGAGAATCAGGCGAGAAATAACGGGCTTGCGTTGCAGCACAGAAGAGTTAGGTTAGACATCAAGAAAAGCTCAAGAGGTAAGAGGAGTTAAGCCCTGTGTAGGTTAGCTTCGGAATTTTTGACATCTCCATCCCTGTAGGTTTTAAAAATCAGCTTAGA